ACGGTGGCATTTTTGTAAATAAGCCAAAAACACAAAGATATCTACATCGGTTAAGTTAGTGACCGATGTAATATTGAGAACCCTTAATTTGCTTCCCGCGCGCGCAGTCCCTGAATCCCTTGCTCCTGAATATTGAGAACCCTTTGCTTTCCCAGCGCGCACATGAGCCTGTTACGAAAAGGTTAACCCGTTCATACAAGGCCCTAGAAATTCCTATATCAAACGCCCCTTCTTCAGAAGCTGACACCTGGCAGCTTGGTGAAGTCGGAACTCCCCCAATATCAGGAGTAACGTCCCTCTCTGGGTTCGAACTCGAGACACTGGGTTCGTAAACAAGGCTCTGATACCATTGTTACCAAAAGGTTAACCCGTTCATACAAGGCCCCAGAAATTCCTATATCAAACGCCCCTTCTTCAGAAGCTGACACCTGGCAGCTTGGTGAAGTCGGAACTCCCCCAATATCAGGAGTAACGTCCCTCTCTGGGTTCGAACTCGAGACACCGGGTTCGTAAACAAGGCTCTGATACCATTGTTACGAAAAGGTTAACCCGTTCATACAAGGCCCCAGAAATTCCTATATCAGAGCCCTTGCCTCGCCCTTGCCCCGCCATTGCCCCGCCGTTGCCCCACGCTTGCCCCGCCATTGCCCCGCTGTTGCCCCACCCTTGCCCCGCCCTTTCCCCTAAATCCGTTGCTCTTGAATAACCCTCTGTAAGCATCAACAGAAACCTTTTTCTTTGATTTGCTTACCTTGCGCACCCATGAGATTTTTTTAATTTTTTAATTTTAGATAATGCATGATGCCCCCCTTTTTAAAGAAAGGATGTATGCTTCTCACAGATCTTATTTTCACACTAGGTTTTTCCCTTATGATGTTGCATTTTTTCATTGTTTTTGTTTTTCTTTACTTTGGGGGAATTATAAAAATTAAATGAATGGTTTGAATAAACAAAATGCAACAAACATATGCTCATACAAAGTAATCCACGAACAGTCACGTCCAAATCCTTGGTTTGTGGTCCCTGTTAAGAAAATTACATTGTATAGGATGGTTCTAATCTCACTAGTCTTAAAAGGCTCCCAAGGTGCCCCCATTATAGGGACCCAGTATCTCTGTCGATGTCACCTGGCAAACTCTAAGGTCTGTTGCAGTATTTCTGGTTAGAGTAATCGATTATCACCTTGAGTGTGATTTATGACAAGGCTCGTAGGCTCCAAGGTCAAACTTGGGCCGGCCGTATGTCAATCACTCCCTATGTTTAATACCCTCATGCCCCCAGGTGTAGGGGGATTGTTGTGTGCTATGGTTTGTGTACAATTTTTATTCAAACAAGTGCGAAATTTAAGCAAACAAGCAGATATCAAAGCCAAGCAAATAAAATAAACAAAGTAAAGGGAAAAATATTTAAATTGTTATTCTTATTTTGCTAATTTCATTATTTATTTGGGCCTGACCCTCTTTAAACTTCCCTAGTGGAGTCGTCAACTGTCACAACAAAAAAATTTTCGATCTTACGATCTATGGATTAGACATCCGTTTGAAAATCTCATCAATTAAGGAATGCCCTAAGACCAAACTAATCCCTAATTAATGGTTTTGAAAATACGTTCAGGGAGTCGCCACCAATGGTTTACTCAAAACATTGGAAAAAGAAAAGGTTTTTCAAAAGTCCAATAATGGCCTTGATAAGTAGAATTGGGTTCGGGGGTCGGTTACGTGTAGGGAAGGTATTAAACACCCCTACAACGCCCTTAATCAGTACCCTATGATGAAGTTAGCATTATAAAAAATAATAATATAAATATTGAATCCCCTTTTACTATGACTATTTACATGCTTGAAATTTAAATTACATAATTGACTCTAAAATGTCTACATGATTGCTTTTATTGTAAGAATGTTTACCAAAGATTTATAGAGGTCACACTAATTTCTCATCTTTGATAGAAATTCCTTTGGTGATCTTATACATGATACGCATGTCTCTCTTTTTACACCCTCTCTTTTTATTTTGATTTTTTTAATTTTTTAATTTTAGATAATGCATGATGCCCCCCTTTTTAAAGAAAGGATGTATGCTTCTCACAGATCTTATTTTCACACTAGGTTTTTCCCTTATGATGTTGCATTTTTTCATTGTTTTTGTTTTTCTTTACTTTGGGGGAATTATAAAAATTAAATGAATGGTTTGAATAAACAAAATGCAACAAACATATGCTCATACAAAGTAATCCACGAACAGTCACGTCCAAATCCTTGGTTTGTGGTCCCTGTTAAGAAAATTACATTGTATAGGATGGTTCTAATCTCACATTATTACTAATGCCTCTTTCGTGACATTCATCTGTATCTAAAATTTGTAGTGCATATTTGACTGATTTCATATATTGCTACTACACAACCCTTAAATGGGCTAATTGGAGCATATTATAAACTGAAACTAAACCTTATATGCTTGAAGTTTGAAAACTTTAACTCAAAAGTTACTGAAGTCTCATGAGTTCACCTGATTTCCTTGGTCAGTCAGAGTTAAAAACCTTTCTTACAATTTAGACTTGAGTAATGATGTATTCTAAGTCCATATCATCAACTTGAATCTTTTCACTACTACAAAAATATTAATCTACATCACCATAATCTGTTCACACTTCACAGGCCACTATAAGGTGCAGAATTTAATATGTAAAAACTTGTCATTTTGAGGCTATCTACTTCAAGTGGATTGTGTAACTATGGATGTTTCTTGTCCCAAAATATTAATGCTTCCTTGCTATTCCTTACAATTTCAGAATGAATTCTAAGAGATGTTTCACCAGCCCATAAAACATTCAAGTTCTAATCAATCCTGCTCTCTTCCTTCTATTTAAACTATACAGTAAATATATATCAAAAAAGTCATCAATGCAAGTCATTTTGAATTGCTGAACTTAGGCAATGGCTCTACAAACCCCAACCCTAAAAACCCCAAACCCCAAACCCCAAACCCTAAACCCTAAACCCTAAACCCTACATACCCTAGACCATAGACCTTAAACCCTTGACCCTAGACCCTAGACCATAGACCTTAAACCCTTGACCCTAGACCCTAGACCATAGACCCTATTATTTGAAAAGTCAAGTCTTTCAAAGTAAAACCAAAACATTAAAGTTTGCAGGATAGATAAATCAATGCAGAAGCCACGGTGATATCAATCAAATGTTACCAATAGAAATCAGAAGTGATGACAAAATCTGTGTCCATAATGCCTGCACAACTCAAATACTTGGATAATCAACACATATATAGATATATAGATATAAATTAGAAGCAAAGTAGAATCCCAAATTTTGGCCTGCTAGGTTTTCAATCTGCCACTACATTGTAAAACTAGATTTAGAATTTTTAAAGGCAACCCTCGTTAGTCAATTTGCAAACAACATACATTACACATCAGCATATATATAAGATTATAGAAGACAAAATAACTAAAAAATGGCTCAAAGTTTTCAAACATAAAGGATAACATACTTAAAACAGCTAATGCCAACAACATATTGGCCATAACAACCTATAGTAGGTAGGCTAGTTTTGCTTAAAGCTCTTGGTCAACTTAGATTCAAGTCTATTTGTCTATGTTTAGTCCTTTTCATACAAGGCACTACTGTTATGAGTTATGACGTTATATCTAAAAGGAGTGCTTTAAGTTGTGTTTCTTCAATATAGCATACACCTGTGTTTTACGCAGGCTGATTCACAACATCACATGCATATATATCTTTCCTCCTTTCCACCCAAATCAAGCCCAATCCTTAAATTTCAACAAGGTGCATCAGAAGCAAGGTTTAAAACCAACAAGAAAATCAATGAACTTGGTAATCAAAGGCATGAAGAAAAAGACATAAATGCAGTACTATTTTATGTGCAAGGATGTAACTCAACTAGCTGATCTCCCAATCCCATGGGCACTCCCTTAATTCCAGCATACACAAATCCAGTCAAATCAGAAGTCAATAATTGTGCCTTACAAGTTTTAGATAGAAATAAAAGATGTATAATGTTCACACTTCTAAGCCTATTATTTCTTCCCTCAACAGAAAAAATGTCTATTACATTAATTCACGTATCATAATAAAACACATAAAACTTTAAAATATGCATTAAAAAATGTTTATTTACAAACCTTCCAAACTTCTTAGTTGTTAGAGGTGCAATTCCTAGGGTGTAATTTATTCTTAATCCGTTTGTTGTATCAACAAACTATTTTCTTGAAAAACTACCTAGATACGATATATAGTCATGTTATGCTGCCTGTTGCATATCTCATTTTTATGGACCTACAGTATCATTGACGTAATATGAAAAGCTACACAGTAGGAATGGAATTGAAAATATATAGCAAATGATTTGTGACATTCATCGACATCAATTTACAAAGAATTACTCTTTAGGATTTATAGTTGTTACCACAGATAAATAGAAGGCCCAAATTCTGGTTTGCTGTGATTTTAGAGACTGACCTGCTAGTGTTCTACAAAAATGAGACACATTGCTTTATTCTTGTAATAGAACCCTTAATTAACCAATAACGTCAACACTTGGAAAAGGATGGAAAAAATAACCATAAACAAGGAAAGACAATATTGGTATGCATATCAAGACTACAAGTTCTAACGAATAAAGATGTTCAAACAAAAAACCCTCTAACAAATTATATAATGATATGAGAATAGACAGCATCCGGGTGTATACAATAATAAACCCCAAAGAGTATCAATCGGATCTGAATCGCAAGAATCGCGACTTAGAGAAAAATCGTATGATTCTTTAGTAAGAAGCTTTGTGAAGACGTTTTGGTGCTTGAATCGCAGTGTCAATTGCACGAATCGGATCTGAATCGCAAGAATTGCGACTTAGGGAAGAATCGTGCGATTCTTGCACAAGCAATTTTGTCAAGATGTTTTGCTGTGTGAATCGCAAAAAAATTATCACAAAACGATCCGTAGACTCCAAAACCCTAAACTGCATAACTAAAGAGAATGCCAACGAGTGGAATTACATGCTTACCGAGGGATCGAAAGTCTTAAAGATATTGAGGCATGTAGGCGTTTTCGTTGACGAACAACTGGAGAGGTTTGTTGCCCCGGTGACGAAGAGTGCTTCGCCGAGGCGATCGGTGTTGATTCGTCCGGCATGTCCGACCTTGTCCATTGCTTGAGCTGCTTGCTTCCACAGTGCCTTGGACTCGGAGCTACCAGAGGAGGGAGAAGGAGTGGAGGTTGAGAATGGTGTCGACTGCTTCTGCTGTGTTTATTGCATTTGCCCGCAAGAAATTAAGTTTCGTTGCATTGTAGAACTAGGATTAGGCCATCCCTCACTAGTTACGACCCATAAAACAACACCACCATCCAGCACCAATTCATTCAATAATATGACAATTTATTGGGGATCAAAAATTTTTTATCATCAGATATAATGAACGGTTCAGATTATAGAAAATACTTAAATAATTTATTAATAAAAACTTCATATTAATTTCTATTAAAATTGAAAAGTCTATTTTAATCTTCTCACACTGAAAAAAAATAAAAATGTACTTTTATAACTTTAACAATCATGTCTACTGTCTAGATGTGATATAAAATAAAATGTAAATTTTTTTTAACCAATTACTTTTAATTTTATTTTAAACATTAAAATAACAAATAAATCTCTTTAAAAATATATACATAATTGAACAACTTTCATAATATATAAAAATGAATATATTTTTTTAAAAATATAATATAGTTTTATTTATATTATTTATTAATAATGACATAATTTTTCATTATTATTAACATAGAAAATGGGACTTGTATATAATTTTAAATAGTGTTTATTAACTACATTTTACAGCAAGGTTTACTATTTAATAAATTTCGTATAACTTTTCTTTTCTTTTGTTTTTTAAATTTTTAGAGGAATTTTTATTTTTTTTAGAAATTTTAAATATTTTCAGCAGGCAATTTATTTTAAAATAGTTTCCCATTTTTTTTAAAGTTAATTATGTATTTCTATTTTAAAATTAAATATAGTTTTTTTTATTTATTAGTTTTCTTCTATTCAAAATCTTTAACTTCATATTTGTATATATAAAATACAAAAAAAATTAAATATATTCACTTATTTTTAATATTTTTTAATCCATAATTACCTATTCAAACATCAAGATTCACTTAAATTACTAAAAAAAAACTTAAAATTTTCATTGTTATCCTAATTTCAATCACATTACAATAAAGCAAGCTTGAAATATTTATTAATTGTCCCAAATATGTTCTATTATAGGATGTCTTTAATAAAGAGGAAACAAATAGATGAGAAATAGAAAGGACAGTAAAAATAGATAAGGAATTAAGTGAAAATTTGATTGTTTGATTGAAAGAAAATAGGTGAAAAATAATATATATATATATATATATATATATATAAAATAGAAGAAAACATATTTAAATAATAGAATAAAAATATATTTGATATAAAATGAATAAACATTTAAAGATAAATAATTTTAAAATATTATGGTTTTAGGTTCAGAGTTAATTAAAATAATAATTTAAACTTAAATAAATAAAATAAATGCTTAAAAAAATAAATAAAATTTTATAGTTTCATTCAAATAAATAAAAATTCTATTTGAATGAAGAAATATATTTATTCAAATAAAAATACATTTTAAAAGAAAATATATTTAAATAAATAATTTATTTATTAAAGAAATGTCTTTTGAAAGGTAATATTTTTGAATAAAAGTTTTATTTAGTGAAATAAATAAAGTTTTTTTTCTTCATGTGTGTGTGTGTGCGTGTGTGTGCGTGCGTGCGTGCGTGCTTGCGTGCGTGCGTGTGTGTGTATGTGTGTGCGTGCGCGCACGTATATTAAATGTACAAAAATTGTTAAATATTAATAGGAATTAATTAATTTTTTATCTAAAATTTAAAAGTTACAATATGTATGACATAAGTATAGCACTGCCAACAACTTTAGAACATACATAAACCTACTTTGTTATGTTTGTGTTTAAACATGTACTTGCCAAAAAGTAGACACAAGAAGTCTTCTATTGAAAGTCATTGGTTATCAACTACTTAATCCACAACCTCCAAGTATTAGATGTTGGTTGTATCTGTAAAAGGGATTGTAATGCCAAAGTCAATCGATATTCAAAGTGTTAGATCTTTTGTGTAAGATTACATACCTCATAAAGGTCTAAAGCATGAATATTTATAGATAGAAGAATGTTATTGATGGCGATTCAATCATTAAAGGTATTATATAATTTGTATGGTTGTGTAACGACTAGAGTTACACTTTATCATGATTATAATGAGGTGCTTGGTCAAGCTGAATACTTCTCAGTCTTATACATTGCCTTCCAATAACTAATAACATCTCAACTCATTCGAGCATTATTCTATAAACACATTATTCTATAAATGAGGTCGACAACGTCTTGGCCCCGGGACAACTCCAATACACAAGTTCCCAAGTCTTCGACACCTAGAAGAAGAATTTATGTATAAGCTTACTAAAAAAAATTCCCACCTAAAAATTTTGTGATTAACATCTTTTGAGTACACCACCATTTTAGTGGTCACATCAAATGCAATGATCACATGTCAAATGACATAATCGCGTGGATATGAAATGTCTCGCGTATACAGGAAGTCACACCCTTCTCCACCGTTGATATCAAAGGGATCTAACAGTTTGGGGAGACCCAACACTTTGTATCTTGAAGCTATCTTCTTCCATAAACAAGGTCTATTAACCCTGAAAAGAATTTACATGTTGCTTTTGACTTTTGAATACACTAAACACTTGCTTTCCTTGCATTAGATATTTATAAGTCAAGTATCGATCAAGTACACCTTTATTCCTTCTTTTATGAGTTCCAACAATAATATAAAGTCTCCGATATTTGGTGGAATGGAAGTTAACATTATTTATAGTTTTTCCTCATCTTCCTCGTTTTCATCCTTTTCCTCTAAGAACTATTACTTTTCTTTTGCTTCCTCTACTTATACACCTAATGCCTTAACTACTTCCATTAGACTCGAGCCTCCTCAGCCGAACGTTGAGATAATTGTAAAGGATGGGAGTTAGGTGGTTGTTGATCAAAGCAACAACAAAAAAGGTCCAAACAAGGAAATTCTTGCTATCGAGAAATTGGGAACCCACCTCTTATGTTGATTTGCAACCCAAAAGTCAATTTTATCATGGAGACAAACGAGTAATCAAATTAGGTTTTGAATACTTTTTGAGTACTCAACTAAATTCACAAATAAGTCTTTATAGATTAAATCCCTCCACCACACCAATATTATGGAGTTTGGCATCGGGAACCTTATAGAGATTCAAAAGCCCTTGGAGGAAGATAGGGTATGTCGAGTAGTTGATGATGATAAAGCCTACTTTTTCTTCATGTATAATTTCTTTTTCAAGCCATTCAACGTTGCCTACCTTTTGAATTCAACTTGGACGTCCAAGCTTTGGGGCCCCATGTGGCCGATCCCCATCTAGAAGCCTAATTACATTTTAATGTAATTTGGAGTTCATTTGAAGCTTCACTTGTGCAGCCACCCTTGGCACAAAACATGTGACTCAAATGCAACTCTAATTACACTAAAATGTAATTAAGTTTCTATGATCCAAGCCTATTATGTATTCCTTTAAAATTCCTAATCTAATGGCCTAAATACAATGGCCAAGCAAATACAATGGAAAGGAAAAATTATAAGAATCAAAATGAGCCCAATATTAGGTACCAAAAGCCCAAAGGCCCAATAAGCTTAAAGCCCAAAAACTCCTACACTAAGGTCCATAATACAAGACCAAACAAAATGAAATCCTACACTACTCTACATGTAATAAAGGTGGCCATCCATGTAAGGCCCAAGTGAAGAGAATCCTAGGCCCACCAAGCTCATTAGGCCCACTAAGCTCTAAAGTAATCAAATCTTCAAGTAGTCTTCTGGCCATAGCTATAGTGGTTACACCCTTGGTCCATGCTCTTCCATCACCTATTCATATCCATATTCTTCACACGCATTGGCTCGTTGCCCCCAACATAATGCATCACGGGTTCTAACTCAAAATGACCCCCGTGATGAATTATCAAATTGAAACCCATCAACACAACTGCAAAGAAACCAAATCTTTGTGTAGAAAAAAAACTCATCAAAAGAACCGTTAAAGCCTATCAAATTATAAACCCTAATAACCTAAGCAACCACTTACCTTCAACACAGACGAAGAATGACAAGGGTTTCGTCGAGAACAACTTTGGTAGTGCTTCAACAACGACAACAAATTTGTCTATTTATGGCTACAAAATTTCACCTCTTTACTAGTTTTCCTTCACCAACGGTCAATGAAGAACGGTGCTTCAAATGCAAGGAATAAATAACCACGCAGAATGTGCATTTCCAAAATAAAGAACAACAAAAACAGGGATGAATGACGAAAACGGAGAATGAGAATAAAAACATGCAGAATTACAACTTCAAGATTTTGAAGAACAAAAAGGAACAAATTTGTAGCTTATGAAATTTAACGTTGAAGTTGAACACAAATAAAAAATAACCAATTTTTGAGTTCGTCAAATTCCAAAACCGAATGCGCGAAACAAACTTTTTTGAAAATATTTAAAATCTGACATGACCAATGACATGGAGACTAAGGTGGACATTAAGCTGATATAGCAGACATTGTAAGGTGATGACGTGATAGTATGTCAAGCACGTTATCACTTAACAGAGGGGGGCTAACGTCAAGTACTAAATTGAAAAAAATTAGTTAGGTAATGAAAATAAAAAAAGTTAATAAGTAATAATTTAAAAATCGACTTAATTTGAGGTAATTTGAACATATTTAAGCTTAGATAAAATCATGTATATCAAAATCTGTTGAGAAAGACATTGACATGTTTTTTAACATAAAAAAGTGGATTATATTTTTTATTCCAAAAGAGGAGGACGTGTAATGTTGGTAACTCTTAAATGGAGTGTAATCAACTCAATTTTCATCCATACAAGTTGTTGAGATTGGGTCAGATCTAAAATCCAAAACGCAACTTAAACCATGAGCCTAGGTAGACATTTACCATGCGGTACATGTTGCGTAGTTAGCTTGACAAACGATAATTCCTTATTACGCAAACGTAGGTTCAGGAGCTAGAGGCTCTCAACCAACAAATGAAGGAGTTATGCTTATATTATGCTTCACACATGCACGCTATAGGAGAATGAATCTATAAATGGACTCGAACGCATTCAGATTTCAAATCATTTCCTGGTTCACATACATCAGTGCATGTGAGCAAATTCTATGATCCAATCTCTTCTCTTGTTTTTTTCATCACTGAAAGAAAATGTCTGCATCGCAATCGATCGAAGGTCCTTCCCGCTGCAGCCGAGTTTTCGGTCCATCACTTGACAAGATCATCAAGAACGCCGCATGGCGTAAGCCCTCTCACCTTGTCTCCTCCTCCAAATCCACCCTTGACAAGCTCGAATCCCTCTCTGAGCCCGAAACGTCTCCAAGTGACACCCAATACCCTATTCCAGGTAATTCCTTCTCAGACGCCGACTATGTCCTTCAACCTCTCTATCTTGTGCTCGACTCTGCCTTCCTTAAGGTTGTTGAACCCTAAACCCTGAATCCTGAACCCTAAACCCTAAACCATAAACCCTAAACCATGAACCATGAACCCTAAACCATAAATCATGAACCCCAAACCCCACACCCCACACCCCACACCCTAAACCCTAAACCATAAATCATAAGCCCTAAGCCCTAAGCCCTAAGCCCTAAGCCCTAAGCCCTAAGCCCTAAGCCCTAAGCCCTAAGCCCTAAGCACTAAATCCTAAGCCATAAACCCAAAACCCAAAACCCTAACAAATAAATCCTAAACCATAAACCCTACACCCTACACCCTACACCCTACACCCTACACCCTACACCCTAAACCCTAAACCTTCAGTCTTCAGAGAATATAGAAGGAAAAGAGGTTAGAATTGAAAGAAGTCAGAACTGAAAGGTGTGCTTTTTAGGAGTGTCAGAGCGCTCTATTTATAGGCATCAAGAGTGGCCATAACGACCCATTTCAAATCTGGAACGACTCGTTCGGGACTCTTCGTCATGTGTAAAATTTCACATCCATAACGGCCCGTTCTAAAACTATAACGACCCGTTCTGGGGTTGCACTTAACCCATAATGACCATATTTGGAACGACCCGTTCCTAATTAGGGTTATTGGCCATTTTGGTGGTTTGGAACGACCCGTTCCAATTTGAGAACAGCCTGTTCTGGGCTACCCAAAATAGGTCTTTTTAGTAGTTTGGAACGACCCGTTCCAATTTGGGAACAACCCGTTCTATGCTACTAAATCACCCATATTGGACTTTTGGGCCTTCGTACAATCTATGAAATCTGTGAAAATCGGGCTGTTACAAAATTATTATAATTATTTTCTAATTTTATCTTTCTAACACTCTTTAATTAACTGAAATTTATTAAAAATAAAAAATCTTTATGGGTTTCATATCTTCTCAAGATTGTGATTTTTAATAAAATTTAGTCAATAATAGTGTGTCTGAAATGAAATCTTTTCTTTACTATACAAAAATTATTTATTTTTTATATACTATATAATTATATGCAAGGTGACAGCATCGCGTCTCCTATATCAGACGATTCTACGATCTTTATTCCCCGTGCATGAAAATATAATCTGTAACCCAAATTCATGACTAAATATGTTTTTAATTTGTAAATAATTAAAGGAAACTATTATCTTATTTATTAAAAGAAGAATGTTATCAACTATTACTAGATGTTAATTTAATAAAAACCATAAACCATAATGGGTTCGACATCTCCTTAAGGTTTGCATTTTCAATAAATTTCAATAGATAATGATGAGTATTAGAAATAAATTGTCAGAGCACTCACATTATGAAAAGATATAAAACTTTTATTTAAAAATATATTGAAAATATCCTTAAGATTTCCTCACACAAGAGAAAGATATCTTTGTGCAAATTTCTTAGTTAGAATGGGTCCGAACACTATGCAAGAGGACTTCCCCTCCTTTATATTTTTTAATTTGCTGTGTATTTAGTTTATCTCTTTACCCGAAAAAATATATATAAATGGTCTAGAATAAAAATTACAAATAAATTTGTCACATACCTCCACTATTAAATTGCATCTACTATCATTGTTGCAATCCTTCCCACCACCATCGCCACTGTCACCACTTCCACCAAAATACAATCTGCATACATACATGTTGGTGGTAACAAATGGAAAGCATTTTTTTATTTCAATACCACAGATAAATTAAAACTCGTTCATTTCCTACGCAAATAAGTTGATAACTAGATAAATACAATCTACAACTAAATTGAAACTCATGTTAGCAATACTTTCTAACGTTATAAGCAACATTTATTTAAAAACACAAAACTTGGTGAGTCATTGATATCATCAAGACTTATGATTTTCAATAAATTTGAGAAAATAAAACTGTTAAACGTCACTAATGTTCATCTTATTAAAATGTTATGTATAATAGATTTTTTCATGAATGACAACGATATCACACAACACTTTTTCTTTCAAATAAGACAAGGCAAAAATTATTTTACACACTCAACATAAAAACAACATATTTGACCATATGATGGTATAAAAACTTTCAAAATATAAAAAATGCAAATGATAAATTAAAAATAATTCAATAAAATATATTAGACTAATAATTATTATAGATTTAAGAAAGTTCAAATATTAAAAAAAATTATATTACCATACATCTTAATGTTTTTAAAAAATAAAAAGTAATTAAAAAACCTGTTAAACAATAGTGAATAATGTGTTACAAATATATATAATATGATATGAATACATATGTTTTAAGTTTGTAAATTAAAAAAATATTATCTTATTAGAAGAAGAATGTTATC